GATAGGAGGTTAGGTGGACCCCAGAGCCAGTCTGGACAATGTGGAGAAGATAAAATTCTTGACCCTACCAGGACTTGAACTCTGACCTCTTGGTTGTCCAGCCCGTAGCTAGTTGCTATACTGACTATGCTACCCCGGATCAAGGATGTGAAATATGTAATTGAAAACTTCGCTGTTCAGAACATGTATTTGGTCATTCTTCTGATTTTTTCTTTCCATTGAAACAAGCTGTTCTTTAGAAATATTGGTTGAAAAGATTGGTGTTGAAAATCATTACAGAGCCCTTATTTTATTAATTTGACACAGCCTTTGGTTGAAATGTGATTTGTCTTTATTTAGATATACTGGTCCCTTACTTGAAGAAGGTTTGTTGGAGAAAGCATTGGATGGTGGACCCAAATCAGTGGAATACACAGGCCTTGTCGAGTGGCTGTCAAAGGAATTAAAGATATTATGTAAACTAGATGAGCATGTAAATGCTGTCACCTCAGCTGAAGATTCCAGTTCATTTCTCCTAGAGTTAAGTAGCTTTCTCAAGGAACTAGGTAAGTGTACAAAAAATTGTATTATATGGTATTGTTGTGTCTTTAGAATACAGGTTCCAATTTCATAGTCTTATCCCAGTAACAGACCTTCCTGTAATGTTATATGGTCTCAGGACTAACATCATCATTAAATGACCCACATAAATAGATATGGAATAGATCTTGCTTGATAGCAATTAGTTAAACTTATAGTAACATTCAGTGTCCGTTGTTGGCCTGGTTCACTACTCAGAATTATAACTGTTCAGATGTTGCTGTGTTTCATTATAAATATGACATTTATATGTGGCACAGTTTCAGACTTGCCAGTCATGATATTTCAGTCAGTACATATAAGTAGAAAAGTGTATTTGTTGATCCTTGATTTTTGTAACTTCAGAGTAGATATGCAGGCAGCATTTTGTGTGTAAGATTTAAGGGTTTCACAGTGATGACAATGAAGATTACTAAAGAGTATTTTCTGGGATATAATGCCATGTAGTCCATTGAAGTTTAACCTGCATTTCCAGAAAGCAGCATGAAGCAGGCAGCAATGAGAACCATGCTGACCTAGTATAGTCAATACATTTTCACATTTTGTGTGAACAGGTTCCCATCTTGCATGTTGGGAACCTTCCTGGCATCCAGCCTGCACAAATTATATAATGATCCAAACTTTCCTGCTGTTAGGAACTGCTGGGGCTCAGTCGTCCAGAGCTGTTGCTGTTAGAAGCTGGTAGGTGGGGGATGGGGCTAGTGCAGGAACTCAGAGGAAGGGGAACATCAGTGTGGGAAGCTGCTACCAAGCAATGGCAGTGAAGATGTGACTGTGTACACTAGTGTGTGTGTAACAGTGAACTGTAAATTGTAGTCATGCACTGTATCAGAGAGTCTAGTAAATCCCATCTTCAATCCAAATCCCATCTGTAGTCACTCCATCACATGACAGCTGGTGTCATAAGTTGGATTGGTTTGATTGGATTGAATTGGACTCAGGAGATGGATAATTATGGTGGATTATGAATGTCTGGTGACCACCATTAAAAAGTTTGAGGCCAATAACAAAAAGGTTGAGGTCCTTTGAGGTACTTTTGTCTCCCGAATGGATGCCCACAAGCCAAGACAGAAGCTAACCATGAGGAGTGGATGGCAGCAATGAAGGCCAGTCAAGAAAGGATGGAAGCCCTGATGGATGTTAGTCTGGAGACAACAGATGCCTGTCTAGAAAAGATTGAAGTGAATCAGGGAAAAGTAGAAATCAAGATGGAAGTATGTCTAGAAGAGATGAAAGTGGAGACTGTCATGGCACTGGAGGACCGACGTGGCGGCTGGTATCTGGCTGTAAGGCACTTCAGACAGTCGATTGCCCCAGCAGAAGTTTGCTGGTGCCTGAGGATGGTCGATCTGCAGTGCCGTTCTTTCACTGCGCAAGGAACATAGTCACAGTGAACCTGGCAAGACAACCGCAATGGCATCGAAGGACAAAGCAGGAGACAGGAGCTACATCTGGGAAGCAAGAAGACATTGGTCCTTGGACAAACTCATGAGTTGGAGGTCGTGAAGCGAGCAGTTGCATTTTCCATCGGGCTATGGGAAGTTACTGAACGTTGTGGAGGGGTCAGCCCCCTCAAAATTAAAGAAGAGACATCAGAAGCACAGTCCTCGGAAAAGAAGAAATGTCGGTACGCCTTAAGGGGTGAGCAGTATGGCATGTGGACCCATTGCTAGACAACAACAGCGAAATAAGCAACTATGCAACAGCCATTGCTAAGTAACGGCTCCACAAACAAGCATGTTTCCACGGCTACAAGAGAATACTGCAATGATGGAAGAGACATCTACACGGCTTGTGCCAAGACATTATGAGCAGGACCAGTTAGCAGTTGTAGTTAGTCAGAGAACTGCTGGGGCTCAAGTCACTGTGAGCTGTTGCTGTTAGAAGTTGGTAGCTGGGGCTAGGGATATTTCAGGTACCCACAGGAAGGGAGATGGTCGCCATTGGAAGCCAGTACCAGGCAGCAGCAATGAAGATGTGATTATGGACACTAGTGTGTGTGTTTGTAACAGTGAACTGTAAAGTGCAGTCACGTGCTGTATCAAAAAGAGTCTGATAATCCATGCCCAGATTAAATGATAGGAGGCACATACTCTTTTGGGTTTGTTAGAAAGGGCTTCCCTCAATTACTAGATACCTAAGTCAGTATAATTATATTGATACTTGCACCTGACTTTAGATTTTTTCAGAGTGAGGTATGACTTAGGTTCCCATGATTGAAGTTCATTCTCTCTAACAGACTCCACAAAGTAGGTGTCTCCCATCCTTTCACCTTAGGATGGAAATAGATCCAATTTCTGAAACGTGTGTTTTAGAATAGTGTACAATGGACAGAACCCAAAAACTCAGTAATCCTGACCATAGAGAAACTAGACTCATATGGCATAAGAGGCGTGCCAAGTATGTGGTTCAGGTCTTACCTGTCAAACAGAATCCAATATGTAGAAATAAAAAATACTGACAGCAGTGTCAAAACCAGTTATAATTCATCGTGTAGGAAAGTGAAGTATGGTGTACCACAGGGATCAGTTTTGGGGCCACTTTTATTTTTACTATACATTAATGATCTTACAGAAAATGTTCAAGGAGCAAAGCTGGTTTTATATGCAGATGATACCAATTTGTTAATTACTGGAAAAGATGAACTTGGCCTTCAATATAAAATAATGAATGTTATGAAAGAATTAGAAATATGGTTTCAAAAAAAAAATAACCTTGTA